CACGGTTCAAGTCATTCCTTGGTCTGCGTTGGTGTAAATTAGCCTTGCGTTTGGTTCATGGTAGGAACTAAATGTTTTCTGAAAATCAAATGAATCTCCATAAATATTAAGATCTCCTATTCCAGTTCTTCAAGCATTCATCATATGGAAAAGTCAATAATAATACAGAGATTTTTCTCTAGGTAGCACTTTCTAAAGGGTTATATTTTAGGGAAATATTATCATTTTTGTCCCAAACCCAACAACCATTAAGTAATAAAACGGGACTAAGAAAAAGTGAAGCAGCACTCTGTGTGCTGCACAGTGCGCCGGGACAGGAGCCAGGAACCTCCGGGTGTCTCCTCAAATGTGATTTTTCCTTACGCTCATGAGTGTGAGCGGCGAGGTCTACTGAAAGTATTGGCTGTATTTTGTTCTTCTATTTCACGGGGCTCCTTTCACGTTCCCTTTGCCCCCAAGGTGCACTGCTCACCCCAGCCGGTGTGCCTGACCCTCCAGCCTATGTTAACTTTACAGGAAGGAAAAAAAACCAAACCAATTTTATTTGAGAGAAATACAATTCCAGGCTGTCTGGTTGGGCTGAAGTGGGCAGCGAGCGAGGGCGTAAGACAAAAGTGTTCACCTGGAAGGTGAAACCCGAGTTCCTTGGCGTACAAAGCAAAAGTGGTACAGGAGTGATAAAAAGCTTTGCCTTTGTAAAGACAGAGCTCCTGGGCGACAAGGGGTTTAATGCCACAAAATGTCATTCCTTTGCTGGCACAGGCAACGCTCCGCACTTCTGCAGGATGTTATGGGGCTTTATTAGCACTTGCTGCGAACTGGAGGAGGGTTATCTTGGGTCTGTATCTGCTGGGCAGAGCAAAGAAAAACCAGGGAGTCCATGCCTGGGGCTCTGCACGCTCGTCTGCTCTTTGGGGAGTCTGAGGGAATTAAGTGAAGGCATCAGTTGTGCATCTCCCCATGGAAATCCCAATTCTGGGACGTTTGCGCTCGGGTTTGGCTCCTGGTGGCGCGGAGGAGGGTGGGATGAGCAGCCCCCACCTGCCCCCAGGACAGCTTCAGCCAAAGCCACGCATTTTACGTGGAAAAAAAACCCAACCCCCTGTGCCACTCTGGGCCGGGCGTGGGTCTTCCACGAGCGTACGCGTGGGTGCGGCGTGGGGAGCCCGGGCACCGCCTCGCTGCCGGCCGCGGGCTGACGCCGGAGCAGCCTCGGCCAGCTGCGCAGGGAGTGGATTGCCCGTGAAAGACGCAGTCCTGGGGTTTGCCTGATCCTTTGGGGAACCCCCGAGTTGCAATGAGCGGGGGAGAACTTTACGCTTGTCCCTGCTCCGCAGAGCAGGCCAACGCTCCGGGGCCGCTCGAGAACCCTCTGCCCGTGCAGCGGCGCGATGCTGCGGGCGGCTCGCGGTGGCAAAATTGGGTATTGATGAACCAGGTGCAGAGCCTCTGCTTGTCTCAAAGCTTACGTGGCAGAGCTTGCTGTATTTTGTTCTTCTATTTCATGGTGCTCCTCGGTCAACAGTGTATATATTCTACTTGTACCTAATACAAGCACATTCTATTTTTTATCTATATAATATTTTTTTAATATAAATTTTCTTCTTTTCTGGTTTATATCTGTCTTTATTCATCTCTGCCAAGCTTGATTTTTACAAAATTCCCTTTCCTCATCATTTTAAAAAGCATTCTTTCTTCATTCCATTTGCAAGATCTAGCAAAGCTCTAAAAATCAGGGAAGGAAAAAGGAGCTTTAAAACTCACAGCCACTTGAGTTTAAAGCCCTTTAGAGGGCTGCACACCATAACTGCCCAAGCCACCTCGGTCCCCAGGAAGGTGCCGGGCTCCCCCGCAGCCCCCTGCCCTGCGTGACTGCGGTCCCACACCCATATCCTGTCTGGGAGAAGGAAAAGGGGGAGGGAAGGGATTTTTATCAGATATTTCCAGAGGGAAGAGGTCTCCACCCGCTTGAATTCCTGCCACATGGCTGAGAGCAGTGGAAGCGGGAAGGCCTGAGTGATGCAGGCTGGAGCCCTGGCAGGAGCTGCTGCGGGAAGCCTGGGCTGGCTGCGGCTCCGCAGCCCCCTGCTCCCCTCCCTTCCTCATCCTCCTCTTCTGCAGCCGCTGGTACCAGCGGTCCCACGGTGCCGGCTCACCCGCGGCGCTTTGCTGTAGCTCAGCCCTTCTGATGCACGGGCTGAGCTTGGAAAAAACCACTTTATTAAACACGGAGAAGGGCTGGAGAAGCTTACCCTGGCGGGGGCTCTCTGAGCTGGGGCGCTGACGCAGGAGCCCGGGACAGGTTCACCAAAAGCCTCACCGAGAGTCGCCCATCGGCCGCTCTCAGCACAGGAGGTGCAGTTGCTGCCTGGGAAGCCCCTGTGGGTTGCACCTTCCACCTTGCAGGGCTGGGGGTGCAGGGGAGAAGCCCCCCATCTTTAATTTGCTGCGGGCGCAGAGCAGGGAGTAAATCATGGAAACTTTTCTCCTGTTTCCTGAGCCTTTGCCACTGCAGAGTTTTGCCTTCTCTGGTCCTGGGTGAGTGCTCAGGGGTGAGCGGTGAACCAAGTCAACTGCTTTAACATTTATAGCCTTGGGGTTTTTAATTTTGATTTGAGCTGAGATACTTCCTAGCCTCATTATTAAAGTACCTTTAAAAATCATAGAATCACAGAATGTTTGGGGTTGGAAGGGACCCCTAGAGGTCACCTAGTCCAACCCCAACTTTGTAAAAGCCAGATAGGTGCATACAGCAGGTACTGCGAAGTACAGTTTTCTTTCACTTATCTGCCCACTTTTGCTCCTGCCTGTGCTAGCACTGCCAGGTGAAGATTTCGCCGAGGTTAATGAATGGCTTGGCCTAAACACTCAAACCCTTAATACTGACGAATTGGCAAAGTTTAGCAAAGCCGGTAAAAACGTATGGTGCAGTAAGTGATCCACTTTAGCTGAGCACCATGTGGATTATCCAGCTCACATCTGGATCGTTATTTATCTCATGAGCCCTCAGGTTTCAGAAAACTTAGCCACGTTTCCTCTAAGAGCGCCTGCTCGCGATACAGTAAAGGGAAGAAAAAGAAATAGTATGTGACAGGTCTTCTCACAAATTGCGCTGAGCAATAATCCAGGCTTCAATTTAGGGCATTGAGTGGTGAAAAGACTTTGATTAGAAATACCGCTGGTGCTTTACAAACATCTGGAATAGTTCAAAGGTGCTTGGGTGGCTGCGGCACTCAGGGAGGTCAAGCCCAGGTGCTGCATTGTTCTGGTGATGTAAAGTTTCCTGCTAAGGTCCATGCAAACCCAGAGCTGTGTGCCGAGCAAGGGTTTAACCTCGTGCTACTCGTTATTCTGGGCGTGCAGTCATGCCTCCTGCTTCTGATTTGTTAAAATTCATCAGAGAAACTTGGTGATTTAACCAGTTGGAACTGAGTTGTCTTGGAGAGAAGAAACCTCTCCCTTACATAAAAGCCGTGCCAGAATCTAAACCCCAGCTCCAGACACCTGCATGGAGCCCCCGGCAGGGCCCCCGCCTCCCCCCGGCGCTCCCGCACCCAGAGCAGCTGCAGCCTGGCTGGGACGGGACGGGACAGGATGCGATGGGATGGGATGCGATGCAATGGGTTGCAATGGAATTGGATGGGATGGGAAAGGATGGGATGGCATGCGATGCAATGGAATTGGATGGGATGGGATGCGATGCAATGGAATTGAACGAGATGGGATGCAATGGGATGGGACGAGACAGAATGGGTTGGGATGCAATGGGATGGGATGGGATGCACCAGCACGAGGGCCCCATGAGGCTGGGCTGGGGTGTGCTCCCCCCCTCAGCACCCTCTGGTACAACCACCCACCGGCTGCAGGAACAGCCAAGCAGCTCTGCCTGCTGTCCTTGCCAAAATGAGCTCTGGCGATGTCAGTCTTTGCTTTTCCTGAGCCGTCCAGGTTCCCTGGACCTGACCCAGCAAAGTACGAACGCCCCAACTCAGAAAAATTCCTGCCAGGACAATGCTGCCGTGCCCGATACCGCAGTGCCTGATACCTAAATGCGTGTTTAAGTGGCAGCGGGTGCATTCGGCGCCACTGCTGCTCTGACGCTGGTGCTGGGCGGCTGATCAGGACCTGTCAGTGCGGCTCCATCTCGAAGGGTGGTTTGGAAGGATGAGGTAACTCTTCTTGGAGCTCGGGCTCCCCTGGGCAGAAATACAAATGGAACAACGTAGTTTGTGTGATTTTCTCTTTAGTGTCTGGATAAGAATCTTAAACAGCAACAGCCCTGGACTGAAGCTGTTTGTTAAAGGGGGAAATAGATCTTAAGAACAGAAAAGGTTAAGAAATGGGAAGAAATGCATTTTCCCTGACTCAGTTCATTTCAGTCGGAAAAGCTGGAAGTGTCATCCTTGTAACATACCAGGAAGCAATATATAAACTTTAAGTTAGAAGAGCAAACCACTCTCCAAACATTCTGCTTTACCTCCAAAGATGTTTTTGCTCATGAGTCAGGGCTGGTCCCAAGCCAATGGGAATGTTTCTATTTACTTTGAGATTGTGCCTGCAACTGCAAATCCAACTTATTTTTCCTGAGGCGCGCAAGCGATCGCTTCCAAGGCCTGAGTCTTTCCTCCAAGGATTATAAACCCAAACTACTATGAAATCCAGCTTTGTGCAGAGCTTTGTGCATCCCTTGGTAAACCCGAGGATTGGGCAGGATGAGGGCAGAAACAAGCCTGTCCTCCTCCAGCGCCGCCCAGGAGCCCCGGAGCCTCTGCAAGGGCTGCACCAAAGCTTGGCACTCACCCAGGCGAAGCCTTTAGTCTTTGAGCTTCTCCCATATGAGCTCGAAGGCAGCGTGCCATTTTGGGGCAAGAAAAAAGTGAATTTGTGAAAGCAGCTGACGCCTCCCTGCCCTGCCTGCAGGGATCCTCGGGGGCAGGCAGGGGCTCGGGGCCGGGGCGGGGGGCCAGCAGCCCCTAACTAACACCTCCCTCTGCCCGCAGGCAAAGCTTCTGGGAGCACAACAGGCACCCCCATGCTCACAGCCACAACCACAGAAACCAAAGACACCAGCAACACGGCAGCCACCGGAGTCACCGGAGCCCCCGGATCCCCCAGCAGTGCCAAGCCACCGACGGAGACGTCCGGTAATGGCTCCCCTTGCTCCCCCTGTGATCCCTGGTAGCACTTGCATTAATAATTGGATTTATGAAGTGCCCAGGCTTGCCCTAAGAAACCGCACAGTCAGTGTATGGGTTGTGCTCTCAAAAAAGAGCTTGGTCGTATGGTCAGAAGCTTTAATCCTGTCCAAAATTGACGGAGCCAGACTCTTTGCAGTGGTGCCCAGCGCCAGGACAAGGGGCATGGGCACAAACTGAGACATAAGAGGTTTCAGTTGAATATGAGGAAGAACTTCTTGACTTTGAGGGTGCCCGAGCCCTGGCCTAGGCTGCCCAGGGGGGCTGTGGAGTTTCCTTCTCTGGAGATATTCAACCCCCACCTGGACAAAGTCCTGTGTGACACGCTCTAAGTGAACCTGCTTGAGCAGGGGGGTGGGACTGGGTGAGCTCCTGAGGTCCCTTCCAACCCTTGTGATCCTGTGATTCTGTGAAAAATCCCACCTGGGCCAGCCTAACACCGCTGTCTTCAGGACAGGCAGCTTAGACCCATCCTTTTCAAAACAGCCAAGGGGTGATGGGACAAAATGCTCATTAATCTTTTATCTCAACGCGCCTCTTCTTTGCTCAGCAAATGGTACCCAGAGGTCCGCCAGCCTTTCCGATAAGAGGCCGAGGCTCTGAAGAGCTGTGAAGCAGGGACCCTTGCACAGATGTACGGTGCCTTTCTCTTACGCCCTTTGAAATCAGTGCATCTTTTTGGAAGGCTCTGGTCAAGGTCAAGGGGGAGGCGAGGGCGATGCAGGGGAGGTCGGGCAATGGCATCCTTGCTGTGGAGCAGCGTATGCCCAGGAAATTGGCCCATTGTAAACAGATTATGAGGCGCATGTAACAATTAGGTAGCTGAAGCAAGTCTAATGCGCGTTTCTTATACAGCCAATAACACGTTCTGGTGCCGCTGACTATGACAAATCAATATTGTACTTCAGTCATCGCAATGCCACGCATTGATTTTAGAGGATTTAAGCTTTCTCATGTATCCTTTTCATTGCATTTCTTTAAAACCGAAGCTGCGGCCATGTTCCTGGCATCCAGCCCCACCTCCCCGGGGCTCAGCAGCGAGTCAACGAGCCCACAGCCCAGCCGAGGCCCCACGCTGGGCACCCCCTCAGTGCCCAACCACACAAGACAAGGGGTCCCCACAAGCCAGAGCCCAGCAACTCAACCCAGCGTGACAGCAGAAACCCCAGGGTCCACGTTGGCTCTGATGAGCTCATCTGTCACCTCGGGGGATCCTCCCATCTTGGCCACCACGATGCCACCGCACACGGACAGTGACAAGGTAAGGATGCGGCTGGGCACCGCGGGCTATGGGACCGTGGGGAGGCTGGGCTTGTCTCACAAACCCCCAGCGCTTCACTGATCCCACCGCTCTGGTTTTTCCCTTCCAGCCCATCACATGCTACAACGTCAAAGAATTGAACGACACCGGAGCCATCTGCTTGCAGCTCAACGAGTCCAGCACTTGCGTGAGTTGCAGCCCCGGGTGGCCACGCACCTCCAAGGGGGGACACATGCAGGGGGAGGGGGTGCAAGCAAACAGCCATGGGCAGGTTCCTGCAGCGCTCTCAGGCTTGCAGCGATGGGGTCACCCACCATACCTGGGGGGGTCGGTTTGGGGTGGGAGATCACACCATAACCTCTGGGGCAGAACATCTGAGCTCTGCCAAACTGGTGGAGGTGGGGACGATCACAGCAGTCCCAGGAGGGTCCCAAAGGGACGATCACAGCAGTCCCAGGGGGGTCCCAAAGGGACGATCACAGCAGTCCCAGGAAAAACAACCTCCTGGTTGCATAAAGCCTCCTTTTTCATGATTAAGCTCTGGGGTCAGTTTAGCTTCTAAAGTATCTCCCACTGTGTTTAACGGGAAATTGCCTTTGTTCTTCTTCTTCCTCTTCCCTGTTGGGAAGGCGGGCGCCTTTTTTTGTCTTGCCAACTGCCCTAGGATAGAAAACCGGGCATGTGAAGGAGCACGGGTGGCCGATCAGTGTCCCCATCTGCACTGGCTCCTAAGGGAACCCCAGGCTCTCTGCAACTGCCCTTGGCTTGTGCACCAGAAGTGAAGCATTTATAAAAGCAGAAGCAGGTCCGGCTGAGACCAGGAGTGGGTGGGAGGAAAAAAACCTTTCACGCAGGAGCTACAACCTGCAAGAGAGGCCAGATGGTGCCAGATCTTGGGGGACAGCGGGTTTGGCAATGCCCAGGGTATAAAATGACAATGATTTATCTTGCTTCTGCTGGTCAGCCGTACTGCCAGCCATAGGATGAGTGAATTCTTACTTGGCTTTTCTCTGCAAATTGCCGATTAAATGGCATTTAGACTTGCTCCTGTTCACAGCGACTGCACTTTAGCAAGAATTCACATGGAAAACTCCTCCGGGAGCGGGTGATTTCGATCACAGATGCCATCTAGTGGGCAACGGCACCTCCTGGGCACAGGGATTACAGGCACTACACACGCATTACATACCTGCACATGCATACATGGATGCATAGATAACATACAGAATATCCTACAGAGTTGTATCTAGTTGCACGTCCTCTTAACCCTCCCTCCATGTGAGATGAGTCAAACTTGCCCCACTTCCAGCTCCAACTGTGTTTTTCTGGGAGGTCTCACCCCGCAGCAGACCTCTCCCATGCTTCCACCATCATCGAGTGGGAAAAACCAGCTCAGGCTCAGCGGCCACTGAACCTGGGAACCCGATAAGAGCGTCTGCGAGGAGAGCAGATAGGAGGGACTGTGCGCTGTCTTGCTTTCTTGCTGGCCTTTCCCAAAGCAAATGAGCAATAAGCTGGCACCCAGCGCTGCTAATTGCAAAGGGAAATTCTGACACTCCAATGAGTTCTTTCCACGGCAGAGAAAGGAAAATACACACTTGGGTCTCTTGTTCCATCTTGGCCTTTCTCACCCCAAGCCAAGCTCTATAGAAACAGCTGAAAATGATTTGTTTGTTATTCTCCCATGGATAAGTTTCTGTGTTTTTGTACGCTAAGAGGATGTGGCAATCCCAGCAACAATACTGAGGCCGTTCTAAGGCAAAGTGAGGAAGGGACTGAGCTGCCCGGTGCTGCAAGGCAAGAGGGGTTTCTCCTCCTTCTCAGCCCCACGTCGGCGGGTACCTCCCGGGGAGGGCAGGGGCAGGGCAGGGGGTTCAGCTGGAGCCAGTCTCTGTCTCGAGGGAGCAGGCATGGCCACAGTTCAGATGATGTCCCCAGCTGGGAGGATGTTAGGGAAGCTGATAACGCCTTTCAGCAACTGCGGGCTCTGTCTCCAAGCCTGACTGTGGCTGAAAATAGACCCGAGGAGAAAGCCTATCCTGTCTGATAGAGAAACTGGCTTGAGAAGGGAAAGGCTGCAGCTCCTCGCTCCTCTTCCTCTTCCACCCAAGAGTTGGTTCAGCTCGAAAATGTGAGAAATTTGTATTTTTTTGCCTGGCCTTTGATCAGCAACCTAGCAAAAACATTTAAGACATTTCCTAAACAGGAAGGCTCAATGCTTCTTTGTTATTTCCCTCCTTTCCCAGCCCCTGCCTGGGACTCTGAAACAATAGGGCTCTTCAGGCAGCTCTTTCAGTCCAAAAATTGGAGGGACTTGCCGTGCAATTCAGATCCTAAATTTAGCTTTGTTTAAATGCCATTTGCAAGAGTTGTTAGTAATATCTTCACTTAATTTACTCTCATTAAGTTAAGAAACAAGAAACAAGCATCTCCATTTTCTAGGTGTTGGCGTTGGGGCTCAAAGCAGCGGTGGGGTGGGAGGGGAAGGTCTGACACCCAGCCCGGGCTGTTTGGCGCTTGTTGTTGCGTTGGCTTGGCTTTGCACAGCACAGAAAAGCCACCAAAACCCACACCAGAAGGTAGAGCTTCAGCACAGCTGGGATGGGGAATTCGTCGGTTCGGTCGTTTCAATGGCTGTTTGTTTGAAAATTTTGCAGAACCATTTTTTAGAGATGAAGGGCTCGGAATTATGGAATGCAATCTGTGAAGAGAACAGCCACCGTGTTCCCTCCCCCTGCCAGATTATACTCGCTAAATCCGAGGTGGACCGTGACTGTATGCTGCTCATCCTCGTCGGCGAGAGAGGTCAGCTGAGCTCGTTGGCTGTCGCCGATACCGCGGGATAACGACCTCAACGTGGGCGATGGGAGAGGGGCCTGCTTGTGGGGAGAGGCGGTGGGACGCGAATCCTCGGTTGCAGCCTGGGAGGAGGCTTCTCTCTGCCACCACTGCTCTTCTTTCTGGGGTCTTCCCAGATCCACGGAGCCGTGGCGCCGCCTCCGGAGCAGCGAAGGGGCTCACGGCTCCTCTGTGTTCAGCAGTGGCCAGGCTCTTTGATGCCGGCGTTAGCTGCAGCGTGACCCTCTTTGTAACGTGCCTCTCCTCTTTTAAACCTTGCAGATCCTGCTACAGATATGCTCCCGCCGTCTCACTGGGAAAAGGTAAATTCCTTGAGCAAATCCAGATGAGAAAAATGGACGAGCGGCTGGAGAAAGGAGATTTTTGAGGCAGTCAGTTGAGGCTGGGGCAGACAGCTGAGACCTGAACCTGCCTCCACCTTGGGGTGATCGTTGGGTGTTGGGACCCGAGATGGTTGGAGCCGGCCACCAGCCACGCAACGAGGCAGCGGTGCACCGCGACAGCACTAATCCAAACGCTGAAGGCAGAAATGCTTGAAATAGTTACTGTAAAATTTAGTAGTATTTTCTTAAAAAAAGGGGCCTAGATCCCAGCACTAACTCTTAGATGTAATTGGCACTCTGCTTCTCCAAAGCACCACGCTGACATTAATTAATTCCTCCTCTCGCCACTCGGGTGAGGCTGCCGTCGGCTCCTAAAGCTGAGCTCCAGGTGGAGCAGAGCTGCAGCAGCAGTGCACGGGGATATTGCAGCCACGCAGATGCATGCCCTAAATCTCAGGGCTTGAGCTCTCCTGTTCGAGGGAGAAAACTTCCCTCTGCCGCCGAAGATATTAGGATGGAAATGAGACTGGGAGGATGTGAGAGCTCACAGGGCAAGTGCAAAGCTGGGGCGCTTGGGTAGCAAAGCCCGGCTTTGTTTATGTGAAGCTTAACAAGGAGGTGAGGAGCAGCATTGTTTTAAGCCCAGTGCCTGTTCTGCAGATGCACAGGTTTCCTGTTTGTCAGACTCCCGGCTCTCTCTGGTGGGTTTTTTTTTCCAGTTTGGAATAAAATCCCTTAAACGGGGGAGCGTGAGGAACCGCGAAGACTTCTCTCAGAAGACCCTGATCGCCTTGGTCACATCTGGACTCCTGCTGGCGTTCCTGGGCTTGGCTGGATATTTCCTGATGAAGCGGCGGAGCTGGAGCCCGGCGGGAGAGAGGCTGGTTAGTGCTTATAGATGGCAGAGCCGCCGGTAGAGAGGTGGGGGGTGCCCGGGGGGACCCTGCAGCTCAGTACCCTCAGCCCATGTGTGTGTCCGTGTGTCCCCAGCGTTGTGACCCGGGGCTGGGCCAGCCTGGGCAAGGCGAAGGGCAGGAGCCAGGGAGGTGAAGGGAAACCTCTCTTGCCTTCTAAAATTAACTCTCAGCTGATCGCTCCGGTGGGAAAGCCGCCCCTTTCTCGCTCATACTTCGAGGTCTAACACTTATTTTTGCTCAGCAGTAAGAACTCATCCAGCAAGACCCCTCCAGAGACACCGAAACCTTATGAATTTGTCGTTAAAAGTGACACACTTTAACTTGCCATTCCCTGCGTTTGAGTTCTATGTCTGTCCTGTACCGATGCTGTAATAAAGGCTATTTCTCCCCTCACTTAACAAGCGACGGTAATAAAATATATCAAGAAAGAAAGAAATCTCCTATTTCCATTTTCCCCTTTCCAGGCAGGCTGACCGCTGAGGACTCTTCCCTCCCAGCGACCTTCGGGGACGTGAGCCCTCTGCAAAGCGAGGAGGGGCCATGCTTTTCCCCCATCGCTGCTCGTGGGCATGTGAACAGCCGTGTCCTGGGAGGCCGTTAGGTTCTGGCATTGCCAGGAAGGCTGCTCACAAAATATCCAGATGGGAAGTCAAGGGCATGAGTCAGAGGCAGGGACATTGCAGCTTGGGCTCTCAAGCCCGCTGCCACCGGGCACCATCTCCTGGATGCTGGCAGCAGGGGAAATGCGTGGCTGGGAGCTGCCCGTGTAAATGCACGGCCGTGTCAATCTGGTTTCTAGGGGAGATGTGTCCAGCACATCCATCTCACTGCCACGGAGAAGGGGCCAAGCAAACAGCGGGGCGGGTGGGAAGCTCTGCAGCCTGCCATGCTGGATGCCACGGAGCAAACAAGGAGCGGGGCTACCTGCAGCCAGCTGGCAATTGCCACCCACGGCCCGGGACCGCCAGTGCCCATTGCATTGCTATCAGACCTGCCGCGGTCCGACACATGGGGAGTTATCGTGGTGGGGGATGGAGGCAGCTCTGCTCTCGCTCCAGATCCTCCAGAGGCATCTGCTCCTTCCAGCAACAGTGGTAGCAAACCACGCAGCGTGTCCTTGCCTTCGCTGGAGCGCAGTCCTGTGCTTCTGCTAGCGCCTTGCTAGCAGATCTATGTACAGGCTGAAAGAAAGAAGGACGGGGAAAGAAAAACAGGCAATTTCCATAGCTTTTATTCAATGGTGCTTCTTACTTGGCCACAGTGGAAAGCAGAGGGGGTCTGTCATGGGGAAGCTTTGCAAACCCAAGGCAGGGTCAGGTCCAAAACCTGGTTATGAGAAAACAACAAAACCTGATGGTTTCTCTTTTCAGGTCCAGGAGAAAAAAAAAAATAAAATAAAAAAGCAGTTCCTGGCTGGTTTTCTTGCTTCATCTTGCCACGGCATGGTTCAGGCCCTCTGTTGCCCTCCTTGTCGGCGAGAGCAGGTTCCCATGCCTGCAGTTGTTTGTACCTCCTGTGCGGGAAGCGCAGGCAGCCGGCCAAGCCGCCGCCTGCAATCAAAGCTGGTTGCTGTCAGCCCTTTCCCTTCCCTAACTCTGCCTTTTATTATTTATGTACCTGTTTAGGCTGAAGACCCATATTACATGGAAAACGGTAGCCAGGGAAACACGATGTTGATGACGCCCTCCCAAGAGCAACCTGAGCTGCAGGAGAAGCCAAACCTCAACGGCGGAGCTCAGGAGAACGGGACCGGCCAGGCGTCCTCCAAGAACGGCCACTCCGCCAGGCAGCACAGTCCCGCCGACACCGAAATGTGAGCCGTGCCGAGAAGCTCATCCTGACCGTGAACCAAGAGGGGAGCGGAGAGGAAAAGGAGGGCAAGCATTTTCCATGGACTGTTAGGGAATTGCAGAACTTTTTTTTTTTTTTTTAATTACTATTTCTGTGAAGAACTTCAGACTCAGCCTAAAACACATTAAGCACCAGCATTGCCAGACCTGCTTCTCTGCCTCCTCCTCCTCCTCCTCCTCCTCCTGCTGGCTGACCACACAGGACACTTGGCAGCTGGTCTCTGCTTTTGTTTTTAGAAGAACGTAACGAGCAACGCAAGTGCCCTTGGACCTGCGCAGCCTTTAAGCAGAGGCAGATGAAGCTACAGAAGCCTTGAGCCAGACTCCAAACAGTCAGAATTTTTGGTGGCGATGTGCTAGGCTGATGACGATAGTTAAATTGGGATTTCAGTGACAAAACCCTCTCAGGTTTCAGATAATTTTGGTTACCAGAGTTGTTTTTTTTATCTCATCTTTATGTTTAACTGCAGGATTCCTTCCTCTTTTAAGTACATCAGGCATTTAATCCCCCTTCTCGTGCTTTATGTTTTCTTTAGTATTTCCTACTCCAGCAGAATTTGCTGAAGCTCTGTGTAAAACTTCCCATATGGAATTGAAGGTTTAAATGTGAATAGTCCTCAAACTTGTTTCTTTTTTTAATCCTCCCAGTATGCAGGGAGTTGTTTTAGAGTAAAATCTTCCCCAGTCAGGGACTGGAGGGGGCGTTTGGTCGAGGCAGAGCCAGCAATCGGTCGCTCGAGTGAGATGGTGACCATGGGACATGGGCTGGCAGTCCCACCACCCGCCCTCCCGACAGGCAGGGGTAGTGCCTAGGGTAGGACTTTGGGAATAAAACCTGCCAAAAGCTTCCCGGGGGGATGAGCGTGGGGTGGAAACCTGGCTCCGTGATGGGTGTTCCTCCCACTGCACCAGCGGTGGGTACATGAACAAAAAGAAGTATTTTCGCTTCGGTAAGCGAGATGCCAAAATCCCAACCCCAGGAGCGGGTCTGACCTAGCTCTGCACCGATCCTGCTCCCAAGGCAAGCGGTGCTGCATCACCGAGGCTGAGCTACGTGCAGCTCCGTGAGACCCAGGGGCAGGTTTGGGCTCAGACCCGAGCGAGTGCAGCTCATTTGTAGGGAGCCAAAGGTCTTGTGCAAGCCCAGTGGTGGTGGTGGTGGTGCAAGAGCACGAGAGGCCGCGGTTCAGAGCAGCATCTCTGTTGGCGCCAGCAGTCACTGCCACATCCAAAATAAGGACAAAAATGGCCCTTGAAGCTGATCTACCCTCTCAATAATGAATTTATTGTGACCTTTTCTCAGTGCTGAACACCTGAGGAAAAGGCTGGGGGTTTTTTTGGTACAGTGCTTAAAGGAACGCGAGCAACAGCCGTCGTTATCTGGGGCTGTGTGCATGGGTGCAAGAGTCTGATAAACACGGTTTCAAATGTTTCGGGGTTTGTTTGTTTTGGTGTGAATTGCTTCTCCCAAATCTCCTTGTAAATAATCCCAGTTGAAAAAAAAAAACAAAAAAAACCCAACCCAAAACCTTGAGTATTAAAAAAAAAAAAATCAGCTTCTGCGTTGTGTCCTTGGACCAACAGCGTGTTTATCCCACCGGGACGCGTGGCTCTGGCTGCGCCGTGTGCCAGCGCGAGGCGAGGACAACGCCTTGCCGAGAGGTTGTTTCCCAGCAGAAGGACGATGACTAAAGGCTGTGGCTTGTTCTGCGCACATTTTCCCTGCCTTTCCACAAACACATTTGCAGGGCAAGTGCCCTGCATTGCTTTATTAAACCTCGTTCGTTTGATTTTCCTGATGTTTAAGATGCCCGGCTAATTCCTGGATAAATAAATGAGATCCCAGTGTCAGGGAGCGATCTGCAGGGCTGGGGTCTGACCTGACGTCGGGGAGGGGTGCACATGCGTGGGGGGGGTGTGTGTGCATGCGAAGATGAAGGCTTCCTCCCTCTGCATGGTGCAATAACCAGCAGTGGTTCCCATCGCAAGGGATTTGCAGGGTGCTGCACCGCAGTCCTTCAGCGCCTGCTCTTGCGGAGATGCTCGAGCTCTGCTGAAAGCAGGAGGTTTGGGGCTGGGTATCCTTACCGACCCGGCCCCCGTCCCCCTGGGACGCCTGATCCTTCCTAGTGCTGGTTTCCCAGGTACTTCGTAGGGGTACCGAATACAGCCAGGACCCCCGCTGGGCCAGTTTTGTCGTCGTTCGGGGTGCTCTGACCACCACAGCCTGGCTGCAAGGGGACCAGATGCAGGGAAATGAATTTACTTTCCCTCCCGAGCGCCCCAGTGCAGGGGAAGCTCTCCCGGAGGTTCGGTTTGCACCGTGGGGGAGGCCAGGGAGCTGGGGGTGGCTGGGTTTTGGGTTTTGGCAAGCGTTTATCTAATCAGCGCTACTCGCTGTATGGAAAGGGGGAGATCTAATCAACCGTCAGGTGCGTTTTTCACAGCTCCGGGTCTGTGCGACAGCCAAGCCGAGACAATAAAGTTACAGTCCATTGCTCTGGCGAAAAAAAAAGCTTTCTCTAAAACATCCAGATTGAGGGAAATGCCGAGAGCGGCGGTGGCCGAGCAGGGACGGTGCCGAGCCAGCGGAAAAGGCTGCGCTTCCAGTTCAGGAAGTTTTTTGCCTGTGTTTAAACACAGCCAGGCTCAGCTCTGGCCCTGCCGAAAAGGTTGTTATTATTATTCCTTCCTTATCAACCCCCTTGCATTCCTTCCTTGCCGGTCCCACCGTCTGCCAGGCAACCTCCTCCTCTCACCGTCCCGCATGGCCTCTGGGCTCGCAGCTGCCTTTGGGCCACTTTTGGGGGGGGGCTAAATCCAGCTCAGCTTCCTACAGCGCCCTGCTTTCCCATAACCATGGTTCAAGGTTGATGCAAGGGCTCTTGCCTGGTTCGTGATCTTGTGCCCTGCTCGTATGCAGTGCATATACAGGCTGCTTAGCTGGTGGGGATCCTTACATCAGTGTGAAATGCCCCGATGAAAATAATCAGTGCGAGAGCATCCTCTGGGGAAGAATGGTGGCAAATACAAATACAAGGTGTTAGATATAAAATGTGACAGGCATTAAATTACATCTCCGTGTCCCAGCCTGAAACAGAAGCAGGAGCTCTGACACCCCGGACCCTTCTGCAGGTTGAAATCAAAGGCTTTTTCAGAAATGAAGAAATACCTTCCTATCCACATCTGACCTGCCATAAAATGCTGCCATGAGCTTGAGGCAGCCTGCTCTGTGTATTGCTGAAACCAATCAAATTTATCAGAGCAAACAAGTTTTAATTAAGTCTTATTAACTCTGTCCCTCAGTGGATCTTCCATCCCTTCCATAATAAAACCAGCACAGCCCTGCCAGCTGAGAAGACTCCTGCCCTTCAGCGTCCCCAGCCCAGCAGAACAGCGCGTCCCGGGTCAGAGGAGGCTCCTTCCTCTGCTGGGCATGAATTTCTTTCTCATTGCTTTAGCACTGGGAAGAGCGAGGGCCCTCAGCAGTAGGATCAATCCTGCACGGCGCCCAGTTCCTACTCGTGGCCCTGCGAAGGTACCGGGGGGGTTGCCGTGTGCTGTGCCTTGGAGCCCCCCAGCAGAAGGTGAGCTCTCCCGGTGCTCTCCGTGCTCCGGATCTGTCGGGACAGATTTACTCGAGCACTGGGCTAAACTTTCAGTTTAAGGGTAGATGCCTCTCGTGCCTTGTCACACTGGGAAATTTTCACCTCCTGGAACATTTTGTTTAATGCAATTTAGCTTAAAGCCTACAGAAATACTACTTCTCCTTAAGTGTAAGGGTTTTCCTCTGCAGCACAGGCAGAGGGTTACCACCCGTACCCACTGCCCCACTGCACGGGGCGGGGGGAGCCATGGCCTCGGGTTTAAATGCACCAAGGTTTCCGCATGCCTTTGAAACCACAGCAGCAATAGTCTAGGGTATATTATATATAACAATGCTGCTATCTGCTGGCTGTGCTTTGCTAAAACATGTAATACTTTGCTCTGGAGAGAAGCTGGTACTCAGGTAATGGTGCCCAGCCCGAAGCAGCACCTGACGACGTGCCCTGCTCCCCCACAGCCCCCTGCTGCGCCCCTGGGTGCCGGCCATACAGCCCTGGGGGTAAGATATCCACATTAGGAAATTATGAAAGAAGTAATACATACGGTGGGCTTTGAAGCTCATATTCTAGGAGCGGGGAACGTCTAAAATGAAATTTCTAAAATGAATTTCCCATCAAGCCCCTACCCATCTGCTCGTTCGATGCCTGATCCCGCAAAACTCGTGTGGGAGTTCTACAATATTTGCTGCACCATCTGCTGCAAGGCCACGCAGGCTTTTCCATCCAAGCACCGGGAACGCAGCGGCAGAGGCAGGCTTTGGTAGCGTCCTGCGGTACACTCCATGGAGGAGAAGCTGGCAAAGCAGCCTCGGTGGAGCCAGGGCACATCCCTGTGACCGCAGCCTGGGAACTGGCAGTGCCCGCGCCTTCCTCCAGCCAGTCCCGCTGAATCGCATCTGGTACCCGGTCTGAGCAGCCAAAACCTCAGGCACCATCAGGTGGCCGTAAAGACGTCTCCCGGCATCGGTAAAGGGTGATGTTCAAGCTCCTTTCCTTCCCTCTCCTTGTCTAACCATAGAAAAGAAACCGGCATCACGTAATGCCCACGTATAGAACCTGGCTGCACCAATGGGATAGTTCTGCCTTTGCTTCCAAGCATCAAGGGCTTCTCCATCCCCCCGAAAAAATGGTATTTACAACTATTTGCGCTACAGGCACTTCACAGGTGTTTTAATTCTAAGTCTTTAATCTTAGCCTTCAGATCCACTCAATTTGCTGGTGTTTTGATTTGTAGTAACAGACGTAAATGGGATTATCTATCCCCCGAGATAAACTGTCAAAGGCAAATGCTGAAGAATTGGGCTCTAAAAACATTTTAATATGCCTATGTTGGAAACCCCGAGATGGAGCTGGGGATGAAGG